GCAACTATTTCGAGCTCTAAAAGCTTTTCTGTTGCTAGGAAACCACTCTCGCAGCTGGTAAGCCTTTATTAAAGTTTTTCTCAAGTGGTTAACTTCCACAGGTGGCTCTGAAACGTTGTCCGGGTGAAACCAAGCAAAAACGCCTGGGGTGACTGTGTCTTCCTTGCCCAAAGTGGTGAAAACCAATGGACTCCCACACTGTTTTTAGCTTTCCTCCAAGTAAATCTACAGATCATTTGCTTTTCCTGCAAACAGTTCTGCAGAAAGACTGTTGCCCTATTTCATTCACAGAAGAACTATCTCCTTAGGATGGTAGAGTCCTCTGACGAGGTTGTTTTTTTTTAAATATTTTTATTTATTTGTAGGAGAAAGAGAGAGACAGCGTGAGCAGGGGAGGGTCAGAGAGAGAGGGAGTCACAGACTGAAACAGGCTCCAGGCTCCGAGCTGGCAGTCAGCACAGAGCCCGAAGCGGGGCCCGAACCCACGAACCGCGAGATCACGACCTAAGCGAAAGTCGGACGCTCAACCGACTAAGCCACCCAGGCACCCCGAGTCCTCTGACGAGTTTTAAGAAGTTCTTATGCTGAATCCTAGCCCAAGATGCTGAGGGCTGGGCCTCGGATCTGGGGAGAGCTCCTGTGAGGCTAATGCGCACCTGAGGCTCAGAGCTACCGGGAGACCAGGAGCCAAGCCCGGGCAAGACCAGTGGGGAGGGGGTCTAGCTCATCCCCTGCCTCCCAATCTCCAGAGAGCTGAAAGAGCCCCCGAGAATGTCAGCCCACCAGAGAAGGATGGCACTGGAGCCCAGAGCAAGGGGGAGACAGATGACTAGGTCTCTTGGGGGTGATGGTGGGAGTTCCAGAGCCAACAACCAAGAAAATTCTTGAAGACATCTTTGGTGCAAAAAGGTGATTTTATTAAAGCCCAGGGACAGGACCCATGGGTAGGAAGAGATTAGTTTATAGAAAGACTATGGCTTTTGGCTTGGACGCCCTGTCTCTTAGACCGGCCATCTGGGTGAGCGCACCATGCTACAAATAGCCCTGGGGAGACCAAAGCCTCAAGCCACATAAGCGAGCCTGGAAACAACCTCCACCCAGTCAGGCCTTCAGAGACAACGGCCACGTATGACACCCTGAGCCGGAAACACCCAGCTCATCGACACCTGACTCCTGACTCCCTGAAATGGTGTGAGGTAATGGTGCCACTGTTTCAGACTGCTACATGCGGGGACCATTTGTTACACAGCAGTAGATGACAGATACAATATCAGTGCTGGTCAGTGACAAGCCAGCGATTAAACCCGCGTCTCTTGCGGCTGCGCCCCCAGCCCATCCCCAGGCCAGCAGCTCGGTCTCTTCCAGAATCTTTCTCCCAACACCCTTAAAAGTCCCCAGGGGCCCTTAAATGTCAGCTAAGGAGGGTGGCCCCACACTTTTCCCTTATTTGAATCAATCATATTTTTCTAGATGTTTTGATTACTCCTGACTCAGTGTACTTTAATGAAGCTTAAGGCAGGTGCGGTGTTTCTGCCCGCGGGGCCGCAGCCACGTTCCCAGTCAGCCCAGAGCGAAGCTACATTGAAAGATGCGGCCGTGTCACCTGCGCTGGCCCCTTATCGGCTCACTAGCCCCACACTCCTGCCAAGATTGTCTGTTCTCCTGGTCAGAGACTCTCCGCTGTCCTGCTCGAGGAGGGGTCTTAGCACCACCCAGATCTCTGATCCACCAGCCCGTTTCTGTGACTTGGGGTGGGTCAGACTTCTGAGCCTCACTTCCTGACGGGTCTCCCTCCAGACTGACCGGGTGAGATAAGAAGGAAGTGTACGTCAGGCCCCTGACTGCCCATGCCTGGCTCTTCCAGACGTCCTGACCCCTGGACATGGTTTCTGCAGGCATTTTCTAACCTGAAGGACTTCATGTTTGGTTAAAACAAGGGGGCTGTGTGAATTTCAGCAACAGCGCTCCCTTCTGGCGAAAAGTAGCGGAAGTTACTACGCAGCAATTTCAGGTGGTGTGTAAAGAAGGAACCCAGTACCGGTAGAAATTATAACGCTTTCTCTAGACTGTGCTGACTGCGTGCAGTCGGCCCCCCTTTGCCTCAGGGGTGTCGAAGCCAGAAGAACAAGGCATCAAGATCAAGACAGAATGAGGTCAGATGCCCGTTCCAGAACTGCACTGGACAGAAGGTTCAGAGACCAGGTTCTAGCTCTGCCTTTACTGTGTGGCCCCAGGGAAGTTCCCTAGCCTCTCTGAGCCTGGAGTGCCTCATCTCTAGAACAGGAGCAGTGATAGTGGGTGCCACGGGGGGTTACTGTGGCGGGAAATAATGAATGCAAAGGACCGAACACAGTCCCCAGCACAGAGCTGGGGTCCATCAAGTGGTCATCAGCGTGGTCGTTACCATGGGCGGTGGGCCTTGGGCACGTGTCCTACATCTCCTGGGCCCCCAGATAATTCCTCTGGGAGATTGAGATGGGAAGGACCCGCTTTTCAGACTTGTTATGGGAGTCAGTGAGGAATAAATCACCCTTCGCGCAATCAGCAAGGTATGAGCAAGGCTGTACCTTGGCGAGGCCCCAGGGCAGAATCCACTCTGGTTCTTCCCAGCCTCTGGAGGTGGCCACGTTCTGGGCCTGTGGCCCCTCCCCTCATCCCTGTCTCCATAGCCAGCGATGGTGGCTGGGGCCCTGGTGCCACATCTTCCTGGTCTCCTCTCCCTCTGAGGCTCTCTGCTGACAAGGACTTGCATGACGATGGGTCTGCCTGACGACTGGGGATAATCTGTCATCTCAAGGTCACGCTGCCCCAGTCCCGAGCTGGTGCTTAGTCAGTACTGGCTGAAGCTGGATGGGGGCGGGGGAGGGGGGCTGAGGCCACGGTACCCCCAACCATCCTCGGTGCATCCACCACTCAGCATCAGAGTCTGAATCCAGACGCCGCCACGTCTCATTTCTGTGAATCGGGGCACATGCTAAACCCCTTCCTCTCTCCGAGCCCCAGTTTCTTCATATGCAAAATGGGTACAGCAGTAGCCCTCCCCTCTTTCCTGCAAAAGAGAGTACTCAAAGCCAAGAGGGAGGTCAGACAAGACAGTGCCTGTGAACGACATAGTACGGTCCTGTCCCGGGACTTCGGGGCCGCAGGTCAGTCACGTACTTTGTGCATCTCCTCAGTGATCCCAACAACACCAAGAAGGAGTGGCACCGCCCTCTAGTTACCCAGGTGGTTCAGCGAGGTCCGTCCAGGTCCAACGTCGCTCAGCCTGGGAGCGGCTTTCTCCTCCTTCAAGCTCTGCCCTGGGGGCTGTGTGGTTGACAAAGAACTTCGCCAATGAAAGCCCCACCAGCAGGAGGCACAGAACCGCGCCTGCCTTCCTCCTGATGAGTGTGAAGTATAAAACGCCCTCTGGAAGGTGGAGAGGAGAGGCCTGGCTCCCAGCAGGGGTGCAGGGAAACCACAGGGGGGTGGGGGTGGGGGGCACAAAGCACTTCCTTATGCATCTTCTGGCTTTTCTCAGCCACCGCAGAATGCCAGGCTGGGCCACCCTGGCTTCCAGAATGGATCAGATGCCTGTGGGCGCTCTCCTCCCAGGTCCCTGCTTCCTGGGACTCTGCTGCTCTTGTGTGCTGGGCGGGATGCTCTCGGAGTTACCCAGGCCACGCCTGAAGCCCTCTCCAACACGTGCTGGCTGTGTGATCCTGAGCCAATTCCTTAACCTCTCTGAACCTCAGCTTCCCATCTCCTCACACTGATGTGGGGGTGAAAAGGGTCCCAAGAGAGTGTGAGAAGACTGGAAGTCACAGTGGGTGACACTCATCCGCTTCAAAGCAAAGGAAAAAAACAACGCAAGACAGCTACCATTTATTGCGGACTTATGTCCCAGACACTGTGCTCTGATTATCCAACGCACTGCCATCTGTCCCCCCAACACCTCGAAACTACAAGGTTGGCATCATCAGCTCCATCTCGCCAGGAAAAATATCAGAGCTCAGAAAGGTTCACAGTTTTGTTAAGAGAGAGACAGCAAAGCTTCGACGTGATCCCGCCTTCCCTGTCTGCCATATTGCCTCCTGACAGCAACCCGGCCTTGGGGGGTTGGCCTTACTAGAAACAGCCAGCACTCCGAGCCTCATTTTCGATGTAACATTTGTTATTTTATTGGAAAAAGCTGGTATTAACATATTTATAATTTTATTCAACAGTTGGATAATCCGAGATACCGAAGAAAACCAGAATGCACCCATGGGTTACAGAACCCAAGTTGATCAGGTCTGTCTACCTACCACCACATACCCGACACCAACCAGAACTTCAGTCCTCAGAGTATTCGAATAAAAACAAAAACAACCCAACAACTTCACAATGACTACGTGAACGCCCATACATTCACGAACAGCAGAAAGTTAAAACAGAGTAGGAAGCAGAGTTTGTGACTATGTTACTGGCCCGTGGGTCTGCGGCATCCAGTCCTGCCCTTCCCCCACAACACGATTCATTATTCAGGACTTCTCTGGACATCGTGAGTTTCCAGGATCTGAAGACACGCTTTTCCCTCTAACACCTTTGTTCCTTTTCCTCTTTGGCTTGGTATCCAAAGCTTAACACAGAAGGAAGGAGCCAGGAACTGCATTAAGACCTCCTTTTGAATGCAGTGTAAGAATTGTACTGTGTAGACGGTTACATGTGAAATCTACGCTCTGACAGTAAGTTCTAGCTGCAGTTCAGAGTCTCCCCTCAGCCTCCGGATCACAAAGGGAAGTGAATTGTGCCAAATATCCACATAATTGTGTAAGGCCCTCAGAGCTGGATTTTGGCTTCGACAAGATTTCTATACAATTTACCACATTCTTGAACCTCTTTACAAAGGAGGGGAAAAAGGAATCCAATCCAGTGATTGTTAATTTCAATTAGAATAGATATGTACATATAATACTGTCCAGGTAACCTGGATTTTACAGCGATATATAAACAAACATTCTTCATTCATGTTGATTTAAAAAAAAAAAACAACCAAGAACAATGGACCCATTTCCTTATGTAAATATCATATGGCCAGAAGTGAATGCACATGCGTTTTGTGCTTTGATACACACAAAAGTACACCGCTATCCACTGAGAAAACCTCGGGTGGGTCCTTTTCCTGGGTTGAGTTACACCCTGTAGAAAAATGTTGGCTTCGGCCTCTGCACTCTGTTTCCTGAATCAGGATACACAGCCAGTGGTCTCGCTGACATTCCACGCAGAGGACAGGCGGGAGGGGTGGGCGAGCCGGTCTCCATGGACACGGAGACACGGCTTCTCTGTGGCCCTCAGGGAAGAGTCGTCTGAGGCCAGGTCATTAAAGAAAACGTATCCTGAAATGGTCAAAACATGCAATCTCCTCTTGGAGGTAGCTCGGTGCACCTGAACAAGGGGCTGGGGGACAGATGTGGGTGCAGCGAGGTGCCCTGGAGAGGGCGGGGATCTGAGGTCACCACACAGAGCCTGGCGGCACCGGGGTCTTCTCTATTCTCCGTGCTGCAGCTCGAGCCTCCCCGGGCCCTCGTCATGGCCCATCACTTCATAAGATGAAGGTGTGTTTCCAGAACCTTCACAGGCAAGAACGCTGCTTTAACACGAGCCACCCATGCAGTGGGTTGGAAAGCGCCCGGTGTGCATGTGCAGACCTGGTCAGGATTCCTGACTCCGCTCCTCAGCCAGTAGGTGCCGAGGACAAGCTGTTCACTCTCTTGGGACCTCCGTGTCCTCGTGTGTAGAGTGGGGATGATACATTACTCACCTTTCATACCTGGCACCAAGCCTGGCATTCTGTGGGGGGCTGGTGTTTATGGAGGAAGTGAACAGGTCGTGGACCGAGCCGTGTGAGCTCCCACGTGGGGCCCTGTGACCATGAAGCACGACAGGAGAGCCCCGCAGAGTGGGGACTGGATCCGTGCGCTTAAAGGGCCGAGCACCGAGCCTGGCCCCCCCGGCCCACGGTCAGCAAAGGCTGGGGCAATGGTGAGGGCAGGCGCGCACACGCACACGCACACGCGCACACACACACACACACACACACGCACACACACACATGGGTGGCTTTCACTGTCCCCTTTCCTCTCCGGGAACGCCGGGCCTGGGGGGCTGAAAGACATTAAAAGAACCTAAAAGTGGATCTTGCACCTGCCCGTTCTCAGCACGAGTCCACGATCCGAAAGGCAAAGGGACGACCCTCAGCTCTGCGACAGCAGAAACCGCTCCGTTTGTAATCAAAAGAATCGCTGGCTGGCTCGTTCAAGTTCATCGTCGGTCCCCAAAGGTGTGGGGCCCCTGAGGCTCCCCGGGGCGCCGGCTTTCCCCTGCGAGTTGCTGCTGGAAGGAGTGAAAAGGGATTCCGGAGATGACAAGGTCCTAAGAGCGGAACAGGCAGTCAATGAACAAAGGGCCTGAACCCCAAGGTGGCAGTCACGTCCATGTTACGGTCTGTGGCTGTGAACCCTTCTTCCTCCCGTTTTCCAACAGTGGCCGGCAGCGGCGGCCCGGCCTGGGGACTTGACGGGCGCGTCCCTGACGGGGCTCTGTGCGCACACCTAGTGCATCTCGGAGTTCACCTTGTCCTGGAAGATGTACAGGTTGTTGGTGGCCGCGATGGCGATGATGTTCTCGGCCGGGTGCCAGGCCGTGTGCAGGATCTTCTTGGTGAAGTCCAGGCTGTCCACGCTGATGTCGTCCCGCCTGCGCTTGCCGCCCACGCACACGCGCCTGGGCTTGAGCACGGCCCGCGGCTTGCTGCTCTCCCTCGAGGCCTCCAGGGTCACGTCGCGTTTGGTGTTCCGGTCAAACATGCGGAAAAAGTTGTTGTAGGCCCCGGTCATGATGACGCTGGAGGGGGGAGGAGAGGCGTCAGGCGGGGGTTGGGGTAGGGGGTTGGGGGGACGGGGAAGAAACCAGTCACACCTCCAGTCACCACCAGGCGACTGCAGACCCTCACTCCCTGGGAAGGGACCGCCCCCTACCCCACCCTGGTCGCGTTCCTCTTGGGCCCTGGTCCTCCCCCACCTCTCAGCTACTGTCCGCCTGCAGACTCCGAGGCCAGAGACTCAGGAGCTGAGAACCCGTTTAAAACTTTGTTTTCTTTTAACATTTATTTATTTTTGAGAGAGAGACAGAGGTAGAGCACGTGGGGGTGGGGGGGAGGCAGAAAGAGAGGGGGACACAATCCAAAGCAGGCTCCAGGCTCCGAGCTGTCAGCACAGGGCCCGACGTGACCCCGCAAACTGTGGGATCATGACCTGAGCCAAAGTCGGACGCTTAACCGGTGAGATCATGACCTGAGCCGAAGTCGGATGCTTAACCGACTGAGCCTTCTAGGCGGCAGCCCTAAGGCAGGAGCTGAGCCCTCTTAACGCCGTCCCAGACTTCATAAAGAAAATTCTCCCGTCCTTTCCCCTTAATCCAGCAGAGGCCTAGCCTTCCAGAGAGACTAGGCACCAGCAGAGGAAGTCCCCAGCACTGACCCCATGCGCCCTTCATGGCGGGGGCCCAGCACCCTCCTGTCCTGAGCAGTCGAGTGACTCAATGAACACATGTTGCACACCGCTGATGTGCAAGTGTTTGCAGACTTTCCTGTCCTGCTAAAGAGAATTTGACATTTGTCCATCCACTCCTCCCTCCCCCCTCCAAGGAGAAGAGGTTCCTGGGGCATCTCTGGAGCAGCCGGGCGTGGGGGAGGGGGACAAAATAACTGGGGGGGGGAGGAGGGGAGACAAGGATTAGGGTTAGGGTTGGAGGGCAGGTGCCTACAGACGGGCATCCCTTTCTTCCCTGTGGAAGCCGAGCATGTTTCTTGGTGGAGTTGCCACTCCGAGACAGAGCCCTGTGACCCCCGTCACACAGTGCAGGGGCGGCAGGAGACGATCAAGACTGAGGTCCATCTAAACAGACTGGGCGAGGTTCTCTTACTAGGCACCTGGGCTGTGGGAGGTCAGATGCTCACGGCGTGGCTCATGGCGTGGCTCACGGCGTGGCCACGGGTGATGCTGAGTCACAGGCTGAAAGTGACATGTCTCCCATAATGGGCCCCCTTTTCATGGGAGAACGTGGGCTGGTGAAGGGATAGCAGAATGCAGTACCTGAAGCCCTAGCTTGCAGGGTCTGTACCAGAGACGGGGAAGTCAGTCCCTTCTAGAAGGAGGGGCGGGGTCATGTGGTGGGGTGGGGTTGTGCAGTAGGGAGGCTCCCCTCGGCTGTTGCCTGGGTCCTGACCCTGCCCGAGGGCCCCAGCAGAGGGCATGACATGCAGGGATCGCCATCTGTCTCCTTTCTCACTGAGAGCCTGCCCCTCAGGGTTCTGATCCTTCCCAGGAAGGACCCTGTAGTCTCGGGTCCTGGCGAGTCTGGGCCAAGAGCGTCTCTAAGGGAAGTGCAGGCTCTGTGTCCCCACTGACAAGCCCTGCCCGCCCTGCGTATGAGGTTCCCGGAGACGGCCAGCACCCGTGAGGCGACGCTTCCCGCCAGAGTCCCTGTGGTGGTAGCGTTTGGTGTCCCCTCCCCGAGGCGCCCACATCGCTTTGTGTGACCTTGTGTTTAGAGACCAGTGGGTGGGCGCTTGGGGACAATAAGGATGGAAAACCTCCAGAAAGGGGTCCTTCTGCCATGTTGTCCACGCAGACCCACGTGGGGGTCACCTGGATCCCAGCAGTGGGCAGAGGGCACATGCCAACCGGCTGGTTGGAGAGGAGCGCCACAAAGAGTCTATGCACAAATGTTCTGGAAGGCTCTAAGAGAACCATAGGGAAAGTGCTGTGCCCTGGGGCTGGATCATCTGGAGATTTTGTTACCATCCCCCAGGCCTGAGGGGTGAGCAGAGGAAAGGTGAGAGACACAGAGACAGATCTGTGTGAAGGGGTGGCTGACGAGGACATGGTGGAACGGGTGGGACAGACCCCCTCTCTCTCCCTCCCAGGGTCCCCACTGGTTAAACCTGGTCAGAAGCACAGGGCATGGTCACCCGTTGAGGCACCGGCTCTAATCACCACGGGGAAGCGTCTGCAGCTGCCTCTGTCTCCACCACTCAGTGGGGGCCCCAGGGGCAGCCGTGTCCTGCCTCTGAGCCCCAAGTCCTGGCTTGGCCTCATGGGGGGAAGGAATCCTGGTCCCCTGGCCTACAGCAGCCAACTGAACCAGACCAAGCCAAGCCCCCTGGTGCTTGCAGAGAAGGCAATAAATGCTTTGTAAATGGTAGGGAATGAAGGGCCAGAACGTGCAAGTTCAGAAGGCACCTTCCCCAGCAGGTGCTCTCCCAGCCGAATGAATGAACGAGTGAATGAGTGAATGAATTCAGCGGAAGGGTCACATACCTTCACAACCACCCTCCGAAGTCCTAGAAATGCAGGAGGCGGCCTTGCCCATCCACCCCTCTGCACTTGACCTGGGACATAGCCCAGTGGGCCGAGGGGCTTCTCTGCAGCTGTGGGGGCAGAGCCGTGGGGGTGGGCCTGGGGGAGGGGTGCAGTCACGCTTCTCTGGAGGTTTGTCTCATCTCTGGAGGTGAAGGTGGGGTGGGTGGGGAATCACAAAGTATTCTCTGGCCCTATTCTCTTGTGTTCTGTAAGTCCACTCCCAAAACCTTAAGCCCTGTGAATAAACCCTATTTGTCGCCGAGACAAAGAAATGGTTCGTGGGGAGGTTCACGCAGGGGGACGGCTGGGGAGAGGCCCTCTCCTCCCACATGAGCTCTCCCTGGGGAAGGCGGGGTCGGCTCTAATGTACCCCCCAGGTTATGACCTGGTATCGATCTCCCAGCGTGAGAGCAGGGAGCGGGCTGGGCCTGAGAATGCCCCAGCACCACAGAAGAGCTGGTGACATGAGCCCAGGCGGCACAGGGCTTCCCTCAGAGCCGGGGTCCGTGCCAGGGGCAGCCCCTTGGGGTCCAGGCATCCAGCCACCGCAGCCCACAGGAGATGGCGCAGCATGGGACCCTGGGCCAGGCCAGGTCCCCACCCAAGTGCCCTTCCTCTTAACCTGCAGCTCAGAGCTGAGACCAAGCTGCAGGAAGGAGAGAGTGGGCGACAGAGCCAGAGAGCCAGAGATGTTCTGGGGGGCGGGGGGGGGGAAGGACATGCCCCCAGCATTAGGCCCCAGGGAGCCCACTGGAGTCCATCCGGGTGGCTCCGGTCAGCTCAGCCCATGGAGCGTGTGTACGTGGCTTTATAAGGCCCGTGCTGGGGGACAGAGCTGGGGGGCTGGTAGCTGGGGGCCAGGTGACGTCTGCGTTGCTGCCGAGGCTGGGGGTGTGTGAGGGGCCCCCCTGCGGCCCAGTGCCAGAGTCCCGACTCCAGGGAGCTGGGGGGCTGCTGGAAAGAGGCTTGTGGCTAACTCTTGCAATGATGAGCAGACACTCAGGGACCACATGGCCTGTTCATTGTCAGATGCCCAGGGAGCCGGGGAGGTGACAGCCCCGGGGAGTTGCTGCACCCCACTTCTTGCTGCACCCCACCCCTTGCTTTCCAGGAGAGGGTGGCTCCAGGTCACTGTGGTGGATGGTGTAAGAAACCCCCGTGCCTGCCCCCAAGGGTGCACACGACCCAGCTCCTGTCCCTCCTCAGGTCACCTGAAAGTGGTCTGACTCCAGCCCGTCCCCTCTTCCTTCACCGCCCACATCCTCCTCATCTCTGGCCCACAGGGAGGGCTGCAACAGCCTGCTCACCGGTCCCCGTGCTTCTGGCCCCCAGTCCCTAAGCCCATCATCCCCCAGGCCAGACGCCCCCATGACACCCACCCCGGGGAGGCCCAAGAGCGCTTTAACCTGAGATCAACTCCGCTAAGCTGTAGCCACACCAGTGGCTCTTTCTTTTCCCTGAGCATTCAGCCATGCTCTTCCCTCTGCCCTAATGCCCTTCCACCCTCTGCGGGCAAATTCCTACTGCTTTCTTGAGACTTGAGGGCACCTCGTCCAGAGGCCATCCTCAGCCCCCTCCCCTGCGGGGCTCCCGCCTTCTCTTCCCCTGCCCTGGACTTTAGTCTGCACAGTGCAACCCCCACAGGCCTCCTAGGCAGGGACCACGTCCCGTCTCTGCTGTGTCCTCGGGGAGGCCAACATAGAATCTGCTGATTCCTAATTGCACGAAGAGTGAGGGAGCAGGTTAGGGGCACAACTCGGCCATGTGCCCCACAGAGGAGGGTGCTCAGACCTCAGGGGTCACAGGCCGGGATGAACTGTGACCTCCCGGCCGGGACGGCAGCCCACCAGGCCCGTCCCACTCAGCAGACAACAAGGGGGGACCCGCAGGGGGCTCTGTGAGATGTCCCCTGTCACTTGCACAGCCGGTGTCCGCTGGTGTCAGGCGCTGCGCCGGGTGACATCCCCGGGTGGGGGGGGGGGGGCGCCACCCGCCAGGAGCCCAGAGAAGAGCAGGTCATAAGAGCCAGATGTCGGGGCCCCCGAGCATCTTAGAAGGGGATCCTTGCTTTCACTCCTCCCTCCCCCTTCCTCGCTCAGCACCCACCATGTCCAGCCCCGGGACTCAGGTGACACAGCTGAGATGGCAGCTAGAGACGGTGGACGCTCTCCCTCCCCCGGGGCCAGCGGCTGGGGCACCCCTGCCTCCATCTGGCCTCACCCTGTGACCCCCACCCTGCCCTGTTACGTAGTCCTTCCCAGAGCCTGCGGAGGAGACGGGTCACCTGTTGGCCGCAGACCTTCCTGGCCAGCTCATAAAACCTCCACCAGCCCTGCCCTCAGCAGCCTGGCCAAAGCACCCACGCTGGATGGGGAATCTGAGATCTCTACAGGGCCGGGCCTCCCCTCCCTGGGCCCAGAGCCGCTCAGCCTCGGGTCAGGAACTGGGCAGGGCCGCCCCAGGCGCGGGGTCATCTGGGGCTGGTGACCGGCCTCACCGTAAGAAATGAGGACAGAGGCCTTTCTCTCCTAAAAGGCAAAGGCGCGTCCCAAGCCCAGGTACCATGGGCAGGCGCTCGGGCTAGCCCCCCTGGGTCCGAATTCTAGCTCTGCCCCTGACATCAATAAAATGGGGGGTAACAAGGGTCCCCAGCTCCTGGAGGGCGTGGAATAGGAGTCCCCGTAAAACAGAGCAGTGCTGCGCCCGGGAAACAATGCCAACAGGTATTCCTTGATTCTAACCATCTTCCTAGCCTGAAGCCTGAGGCGGGACTCGCAAACTAAGGAAGCGAAAGGAAAGGTTCCAGGGAAAGGCCCTACTAGGGGCCACACCTCCCCCTCTCCCCCAGGCGAGCGAGGGCAGAGGAGAAGGGAGGGCAGCCCTCCTTTGCTCACCTAGCCCGTGAGTGCTCTCATGCAGCTGCCTGTCCTTCTGTCCTGATCCGGCAGGGGAGGGGGGAGGGGGGCCACTGAAGTCACAGGCGTTGAGATGCGGAACCCGGCTGGCACATGGGGACGAGGGGCCCCCACTCCTTACCGCAAGGAGAAGGGTCTCTTTCATCTCAGGATACCAGGTCCCAGCCCCCTGCAAAGCCCTTCAGGACAGATGGCCCACTGCTTGCATTCTTACATTCCAGGAGGTTCCCTTAACGGAGGAAAGGGCAGCCCCTGCCCCAGATTGTGTCTCGCACGCTGCCTCACCTCTGCTAGCCTCACCCTCTGCACGTGGGGACGCCCATCTGACCGCTCCTGTCCCCAGGGGCTCTCTCCACTGGGGACGGGCTCCTGCCCCCATGGTGCCAGCTGAGGGGCCGCCAGGCACAGGGCTCTACGCGCCCCCTGCTGGCCAACCATGGCAATAACCGCGTGCGAGCCGACTGGCTCAAAAAGTGAGCATGTAACCCAAACAGAGCCAACCAGACCCTCCATGAGAACTTCCTGGAGACCTTGGGAGGGTTGTGGGCTGTGAGGTCAATGGCAGGGCAACTATGTGGGGTCGGCATCCCCGGCAGCCACGGGGAGCTGCAGGAGAGGATGGGGCTTGTGTGTGAGGAGGAGCAGGGAGACACAGAGATGAGGACCGGGAAAGAGATGGCCCCAACATACACCTGAGCCCTGGGGAAACTTTGCCTGCAGCTTCTCCGAACAAGCTCAGGCTTGTCTGATTGCTGCAACCGGAAGACGCCTGGCTGACACAAATCCCTTTGTCCTAGGCAGAACAGATCAAGGAGAGCTTCCTAGAGGAAGCGGCATTTGAGGTGGGTCTTAGAGGCTCAGCGGGGTTTGTTTGTTTCTCTCTAAATGCTCACCTCTCTTGGAGAGAGAGAGGGCAGGTGGAGGAAGGGCAGAGACAGAGGGGGGACAGAGGATGCTGGTGGCAGCGCGGGGCTCGAACTCACGAACCGAACCATGAGCTCATAGCCGGAGCTGAAATCGGACATTCAACCGACTGAGCCCCCCAGGCGCCCCTCAGCAGGGTTCTTCTAGGTGCAGAAGTCATGTGTGCAAAATCACCAGGACGTCCATTGCTGCTACTGACTCACGGCCTTGCCGAGAGCTTTGCACACGGGGTCTCAGCCTCAAAACAGCCCTGGAAGGTCACGGCTGATTAGAACCATGCTCCAGGTGAGCAGGGCTCAGGGGGCTCGGCGGCTAATTCAGCACAGGACTGGAGAGTGGCGGGGTGGGGACCGGAGCCCAAGGGTGTCCAGCCCTTTCCTCTACACCAGGCTGCTGCTCCCCCAGCATTGGGCGCAAGGCCACCGCGAGGGTCATCGGATGCCCAGCAGCTCTGTGCTGCCGTCTGGGCAACAGGCTCCCCACGGATGTCAGAAGGCTGCCTTGTGCCAAGCTGCAGGGTTCAGAGGGTCATCTGGTAAGAGTGGGGGTGCTGGAGGGCAGAGCCTGCTTCTCCCCTGAGCTCCTGGGAGACAGGGATTCTCCTCCACAAGCCACAACAGGCTCTGAGGAGTGCTCAGGATGAAGGGGAAGGAGGGGGCACACTCCGGTGCCTTCCAGAGTGTCAACAGCCCCTGACAAGACCCCCCCCCCCGAGGTACGGAGTGGGCTTAGCCACAGTCACAACCCCCAAGGGCACCCCACCCAACAGGGAAGGCAGAGGCAAGGAGCAAACGTAGTAAGTGCCAAGACACAGAAAAGTCAGGAGGCTCAGGGCCACAGTGGAGAGGGCCCTGAGGGCTTCCTGGAGGAGATGGCCTTGAGTTGAGTCAGTAATTTGAGGGGAGAGCAGGAGTGAGCTAGGTGCAGTGCGGCCAGATTCCAGTGCGGGAGCAGAGTGGTTGTGGAGGGGGAAACAACACGGGGAGGTACAGGACCGTGGGGGTTGGGGGTTGCTGGCCTGTAAAGTGCACGGCAGGAAGTGGCTCATAAGAGGCAGGACAGCTGAGCTCCAACCAGGACTTGCTTGGTGGCTCCGGCCCTGGGAACCAGATGTCGCCTGTTCGTGAGTGCCTCCTGGTGGTAACGTGGAGGAAGGGCGTGCATCGGTCAGCCAGCAGAGACTGCCCCCAACACACACACGCACGCACATGCACACGCACACGCGCACACACACACACACACTAGTGCTGGAATCCCCTGTGGCCACAATAAGTCCTTCTCCTGAGACTCTCACAGCCCAAGACCCACTGCCAGTGCTCACTGGGGAACCCCCAATGTGTCCAGGTCTGCAGCTGAGGGTTATCCGAGAGGCCCTGTCCTCCCTGGGGGTGTCGGGTCGGCCTGGGTGTGGGCACCTGGAGGGAGTGCCATGCCAGCCTGGTCTCAAGCCAGCGGCTCCGCCCCGGCTTTCTCACTGTTATGCAACTGAGCCCTGTGACCGCCAAGCTGCTCCCTGATGGAGAGCACCGCCGGGGGTGGGGGCCCAGGGTGTCAGCAGCAGCTCCAGGGGGTCCCCACCCTGGACCCGGCAGCTCAGCCCACAGGGGCCGGCCGACGTGCAGGCGGCTCCCTCCTGGCCCTGTCCCGTGGTTTCTGGACCCCACCACCCCCGTCCTATGGTCCCAGCGTGCCTGTCACATCACAGAAGCTCTTACCATGACCTAGCGGCAGCACTGGGCACCCCCAGAACAAGGGGAGACACACGGGATGGATGGGGTCCACGTGGTGGATGCACGCCCCCGGATGACACTTGAACCGTCGGCTGCTGGCCAGCACACCACCCCTCCCCCACCACGCTGGACCGCACACCGCTCCTCCTCCCGCCACGCTGGACTGCACACCACCCCTCCCCCCACTGCGCTGGACCGCACACCACCCCTCCCCCCCACGCTGGACCGCACACCATCCCTCCCCCACCACGCTGGACCGCACACCATCCCTCCCCCCGCCAGGCTGGACCGCACACCGCCCCTCCCCGCCAGGCTGGACCGCACACCACCCCTCCCCCCCACGCTGGACCGCACACCACCCCTCCCCCACCACGCTGGACTGCAGGACAGGAAGGGGACACGGAGCCTGCTCCAACTGTGAAAACGTGATGGGCTGTATCCTGCATTTTCTTGTCACCTGGGTCCCCGTGCTGGCCCTTCCCGTCCACACCGGCCCTGGGCTGAGGCAGCAATGGGATAACAGGAGCTCACATAGGGCCATCTCCCGGGTGGGGGGGCTGTGAGATGTGGCCGGGCCTGGGGGACCCTGCCAGCCCAGAGTGCGGGGCTGTGGTGTGCCGGCCGCCCTGGGGTGGGGGCGAGGTAGGGGAGCCGCGGGGGGGGGCAGGTGCAGCCATGACAGAAGCAGGGAGAGGGCAAGGACCAGCGGCGAAGCTCCCCCCAGGGAGCACCCCCCCACACAACCTGGGGGAGTGGCCGTGTGGCTAGGGGCCCAGCGCTGACTGTTCCCACTCGGGATGGCGGGGAGGGGGAGGGGGAGCGGCTCCAAGTGCAGGGCAGGTGTAGTCACAGATGCGGCTGTCATTTCCTGCCCTGGCCGGTGAGGCCCCTTCCCACATCAAGTTCCCCAGGGCGCCAGCCCAGCAGCGAGCGGGCCGCTGTCCCAGGCTGGGGGTTACCTGTCGCTCCCGTTCCAGGCACATTCAAACTTGTCGAAAATGCAGTCGTTCTCGTACAGGGAACAGAGCTTGCTCCGCAGATAGTCGTGAACCTGGTCAGAGAAGGGGCCCGGGTGAGTCAGTCCTGGTCTCCACTGCGAGAAGGTCCCTGAGCAGCGAGGGGCTGGGCCTCTGGGGTCCCTGCTCACCAAGAAGCACCCGCAGCCCAACACGGCCGACCCCAGAAGTGTGGCCAGAGGGGGCAGTCACACAGTGAGTGACAAAGGGAACAATACCATAGGGGCCAAATCTTGGCTTCACCCCCCCCACCCCCTGCTGTGTGATCCCAGACAAGTGACTTCACCTCTCTGAGCCTTGGTTCTTCCTCCTTGAACTGATAAGAATACATACTTCATGGGCTTTTGTGGGATCAACTAGGTGACTGTCTGGTGCAGGGCCATGGCCCTGGAGAGTAACAGTCACCATGAGCACGAATCATGGAAGAAAGGGGGAAGGGGAGCTCACACAGGCCTCTCCGACGCGATCTCGGTGGGCGTCCCTTGTCCTGTTTTACGGATGAGGCACTGATGCTCAGAGAGGGTAAGTAACTGGCCCAGAGTCACACAGCTTGTAAGTGGAAGACCAGGACGCTCTTCCAGAGTTACGTGACACCACAGGACGGACGGTGATGCCCCCGTGGCCTGGGCCCATCTGACAGTGGCCTCTATGCCCAGAGGGCTTCGTGGGGGCCGCTCTCTGCCAGGCATGTGGCCCCACCCTCTGCGTGGGGGAGGGGAGGTACACGGGTAACCAGAGCCTGAACTCCTGGCTCTGCCCCTTCCGGTTTCCCAGCCGGGAAGGGGGTCGGGAGGCCCCTCCAAGCAGACAAACAAAGGGCAAAGCACCGATGGGTATTTGGGACCCTGGTTAACTCGGGAGGCACAGACCTGCTGGGCAGTGACACAGGCCACAAGCCAAGGGTCAAGTGTAGGGAGAGGAGGGAAGGGAGGAAAGGGGAGATGTTTATCCTTTCCTGTCTGGGAACCTCATATTCATGTATAAAAAGATGGGCGCCCCCCACCCCCACCCCGCCTGGCAGCCTTCAGGGTCCGCGGGCTGAGGGTCTCATCCCCCCCTGGCTCTTCCCTCGGAGGGTCCAGTGCATCGGAGGGTCCTGCCCCGACCTTCTGTGTTGGCGTGCACCCCCTCCCCCCTGAAGGCTCACCCCGGTCTTACATGGTGACTTCCTCCGGTCTCAGCTGAGATGCCCCTCCCCGGAGCGGGCTCCCCCCTGCCTGCGCGCCTGTGTGATTCCCTCTACGCCCTGACGACGCGCGGCCCTTCCTCCCCAGCAGGACCCGTCTCCCCTGAGCCACGCAGCGGACCATCCAGCGGCCACCCAGGTGGGCGACAGGCCCCTCGAGGCTGCGCACTGTGAGCCCCGTGGCCCCCCGTCCTTCCTGGCGCCGCAGCCGCAAACAGCATCCCTCTGCACACCTCCCGTCGCTCGCGCCCCTGCAGCCAGTCCGGAATCCAAAGCGGTCTGGAGCCCACCTGCTTCTCACCACGCCCCGCGCTGCCTCCTGCCCTGAACACCATCTCCCAGCTCACTGCAAATGCCTCCAGGCTGCTCCCCCCGATCCTGTGCCCCCAGACCCAGAGTGTCTCCACGGACAACCAGAGGGAGCCCCGAGAAACCAAGCTGGATCATGCCCAATACCTTCCGGGGCTCACACGCCCCCTAGACTGTGCCCCCAATCACCTCTCTGACCCCAGACTCTTCTCCCCCCCCCTCACTCCACCCCCACTGACTCTCCAGCATTCCCTGACCATGATAACCATGTGCCTGCCTCAGGGCCTTTGCACCTTCCCCCCAGACGACTGATGCCCTCGCTTCCATCAGACGCCGGCACCCCTCCTCTCTCTGCCTCGGCCCCTGGGTTATTTGTCCCACTTCTTGCAGCCTGTGATTATTTCATTTGTGCGCTTCCTTGGTCTCTGGGCATCTTTCCTGTTGGCTCCGTTTCGTTCCTCACAGTCTCCCAGCGAGGCGCGGCGCGTCCGGTAGGTCACGGGAACTTGATGCGCTTCTTGGAATGGGCCAGTGGGGTTAGAGACTTGGCTCAGGGCCCTCCGGGTGCCCCAAGGCTCCAGGTCTGGGGGGGGGAGGGCGGTGGGAAGAGGCGGGGTCTGCATCCCCAGCCAGGGGCCAGAGGGAGGAGGGTGAGCCTCGCAGTGGGCCGGGGAGGAGGCTGAGCGGCACAGGAGGGAGGGCTGTGCTGTGAGGGCCAAGGGAGGGGCTGGGGGAGGGGGCACAGGTCCTGCGCGTCCCCAAGACCTGGAGGGAGGGAAGCCTAACCGGGCTCACGGACACCCGGACACCCGGACACGCCCCAAGCCTGGGATGGAGGCCGAGGAGAGCGCGTCGGGTGGGGAACAGCGCCCCCTGCCTGCGAGCCCGCGCGCAGAGGCTGGAGGAGCGAGGCCTAGGGCACATTACAGCCCCAGGGTCACAGTCCCGGCTGGGGCCCCGCAGAGAGAACCCCTGAGGGCGTGTGAGCCCCCCCCCCAGTGACAGGTCAAAGGCAGCCCCGGAGGAGCCTGGGACGCAGGCTGATCAACACACGCGAGAGGCACCAGGGGCGGCGAGGAGAGCGGGGGGCGAGGGGAGAGGCGCGGGAGGGCGCGGCCGTGGCGTTCAGACAGCCCTGGGCCCCAGCCACACCTCACCCAGGGTCCCCGAGTTCCCGTCGCGCGGGCCCCTGCAGGGCCAGGCTGCGGCTGCCACTTCCCTCTGCGGCCCAGGGGCCAGCCGGGCACAGAGCAGCTGCCAAATACGCGTAACAGATGCGTGGGGATACGTGGTGCCCGTCCTCACCGCCGGCCACGGACCGACTCCCAGGGGCTCGTGGGCAGCCCCTCCGGCTCTCCCTGTGCGGTCAGAGCAGCCTCACTGATACACCCGTCCAAACGCACGCACGCACGCACGCACGCTCGCCCTCTCCTCCAAAGTGAGCGCCTGCTGCCCTCTGGCGGCAGAGCCAGGAAGCGCAGGGGCTCCGGAGACCGCCGGGAGCAGCAATCCCACCAGATGGGCCATTTAACTGCATTTTCTCCAAATAAAACGGGAAAGAGAGAACACCGGCCCCATTCCCCAGGGCAGCTGGGCGGCTTCAGAGGACAGCTCAAGGCAGCGCGTGCTCACTCAACACCCATCCCCGCCCCACCCTCCCTTACCTTTCTTAAACGCAGAGGCTGTAAAACTACTCATTTCCCAGCCTGGCCACAGACCCGCTGTAGCCAGAGACTTGTAAGAAGTCATCTGGAGAACATTCTGGGAAAGATTTTGCGGTGCCAATAAAACCTCCAACAGACCCAACTGGCACAGCCTTTCACATTCCCTCCTAGTTCCTTCCTGGAATGTAGGCATGGTTCCCGGAGGAGTGGCAGCCATTTCGCCACCAGGAGGTGTCACACTGGAAGGCAGGAAACTGACATGGGAATGATAGCAGACTAGGTCACAGGAGGAGCTGTTGGGAGACCAAGGAGGTCCTGGGGCCACTCGCTGTTCCTGGATGCCCCCTTCCGGACTTCTTGTGAATTCAGGGAGCAGAGCCCCTGTGTGTTGGGCACTGGGGATCAGCACCAAAACCCCACTGAGCATAGTTCTAGGGCATCACAGCCAAAACTGTTAGTTACCGTGCTGGTTTTTGGTAACTATATTATCTTAGAAGCAACAGGCCAGCGGGCCAGAGGCCGGGCACTGGGCTGGAGGTGGGTCATCCCCTCATTTTACTGGGTCCCCACACGCTTGGAGGATCTCTGGAGGCCGTGGACCCTTGCCCTGCAAAATGTCCATATTAAACACCGCACTAAGTGTTGGAGTCCGTGGGCCTTGGGTGACAAGGGTGTGGAAGGCGGAGGGGCCCCGGGGAGCTGCGACAGTCACTTCCTCCCGGGCGGGCAGGGGAGGGGGGCTGTGTCATGCCCGCCCCCGTCTCTGCCATTTCCCGAGGGGCAGAGGATGGGCTGACGCCTCCTGGAGTGGGCAGCGTGAAGGGGGACCTAGGGGACACCCAGGGGGCTGGGCAGGCCCTCCGGTAACACACGGCCAGCAAAGGGGCGTCACCAGCAGCCGTGATGGCTCTTTCAGGAGCCTTTCCCGAGGAGAAGGGTCACAACGGACCAGAGCCACGGCAGACGTCCCTGTGGGCCCGTCCCCTCAGCCCTGCACCCTTCCCACTGAGGCTGCTTCTGTCTCCCGGGACGCCCCTTACCCCAGGCGGGAGGGGGAAGGGGGACCGGGACGGAGGGCCCCCGTGGTCTCTGACCTGTCACTGCCCGGCTGTGAGGCGGCTCGCACATGCCCCGTCCTGTTAGCACCCAGGTTCCCTTCCTGCCACCCCTTCGCCCCACCCCTGCCTGCAGGCACCCCCTTCACAGGGGCAGTAAAGAAATACAGGTGAAAATCCTAAGCACAGGACACCCCTGGACACCTAATATTTGGTGGCACTGTCACGGTTTAGCTGTGGCTTCTGATGGGGTCTAACTGAACAGCATGTGAGTTTTGTTTTCTACCCTCCGACTCTGTCCGGATGGATCATAACAGAAAAGTAAAACGTGGTGCTCCGTCACCATTGCACACGCTAAGGACGGGGCTTTTCCCGCCTGAACTGCAGACACGGGGTGGGGGGGGGCAGGGGAGGGGACGGCGACTGCAGCCTTCACCATCTGCACCTGCGAACCGGGCCTTGCCTGATGCTTACCCTTGTTCCCCAGGGCCCCCAAGGGCAGGAGCCAGCAAGCGGACGGCACTCCCCGCCCCCTGCGAGGCAGTCCTGAGCCCCGGGGTGTGGCTGGGGACCGGCTGCCCAGTTTCCTGAGCCTTCACATGGGGCGTACGGAAGCCACCTCTGCGGCCGGGGCTGCCCCCTCCTGGGAGTTCTGGGCACAGGGGACGGAGGCCGGGGGTCTCCCTCTGCTCCGAGGGGCTCCATTTCTTCTAGGCTGCAGCACCCACCTGGTAGGTCTCGATGGGCCTCGCCTCCATGTTCAGGTCCCAGACCTTGACCGTGAGGTAATCCCGGGTAAGCATGTACCGGCCGCTGTGGCTGAACTTCACGTCCGACACGGAGGAGATGATTTCGGAGAAGAAGGAGCGGTTGCTGGGGTCCTCGGGTTCTTCAAACACTGTGGAGACAGAGAATCGATGGCCGTCACCGGGCTGCTCACCCTGCGGGTCAGAAGAGCAGACGACTCTGTTTCCGTCCTGGGCTCTCGCCGTACCGTCATTCTCATCAAACCTGAAGCAGCATCTTGGAACAATGTTTATTGAGCATTTACACCCTGAGCCAGATTCTGTGCAGAGCCCTTCCCGTGCATTAGCTCATCCAGTCCCCTGATAAAACACCTGGTCAGGACCACTATCATTCCCATTTCATAGCCCGGACGACCGAGGCACAGATGGCTAAAATCCATGCCCCAGGCACTGAGCTAGAGGAACCCAGAGGGGCATGGGCTGTGCTGCACTCTGCCGCCACCTACTGGTGTCTCGATGTTCTCGCACGTGCTGGCAGCGTCTGGGACGAGGCCCCGGGGCTCACGGTGCACTGGGCACTCACAGCTGAGCCCCACCGGCAGGCACGTTTGTCTGGCTGCTACGGGGACCATGGCTAAATCAAATCTCGCTGCCACCGATGGCGCTTGAGTCCCGTCAGCCGCCCGCTGCCCACCTCCTAGTATCTCAGACAAGGGGCTCCACACAGGAAATTGCTTACCTGCCTCCCAAAGGCGACAGCTTGCTGTCCCTACGGGATGCTCCCACTCTGGGACAGAGTGTGCGGCGAGCGGCCCCCCGGCAGCATCCCCTCCCTGGAGGATCCCCCGTGGAGGTTCCCACCGGGCGGGCCAGGCGCGTCGAGGCCCAGTCTATTGCTGGCTGCCCCGCCAGTCTGCCCAGCAACACCCTCGCTGGCCAATCAGATCCTACAGTGGCCCCGCTGCCGGGGCAGGGTGGGGACCAGGCACTCCCCACGCGGTACGTCAGCTAACCAGGCCAAACCAGCAGTAGCTCCTCGGGAGGGGGCCACGGGGATCACAGGGATCAGGGACGGAGTGGAAGGCCGGCAGCTATTTCTCAGCCCGTCTGGAAGGATTGAGACATTTGACGGCCTTTCTAGCCGTCCCCATGGAAACCAGCTGAGTGGCCACTCTGTCTGCTGGCCCCTGAGCCCGCACACCTGAATCAGGGAAGCTGGGAGCTGATCACACGTGGCTGGGGGCTCCCAAGAGTGCCCTCCCTGGCTGCCCCCCCCCAGTCCCCAAATCCCACTTCCCCCTTATGCTCCCCCCGCCCCCCGGACTCCCCATCTCACTCCTGTTCCCGCCTTTCCCAGAAATACTGCCCTTGCCAGGCTCCCCTCCGCACAGTGGCTGGAAACATTTCATGCCAATCAGATGCTCTCGTCCGATGCATTCATTCATTCTCTCAGACCTCCAGTCCACACTGAGCGCCCACCGTACGCCAGGCCCTGTGTGAGACCCCGGGATGCTGCAGAGAGCAGCGACTCTCCTGGAACTGACATTTGCACAGAGACAGGCAACGAAACTCGGACATGCTACACCATCAGGGCATGATGAGGGCGGGAAGAAAACTACAGCAAGGAGACAGAGAGGGCTCGGGGCTGGGGATCTGGGTGGACAGTGCCCGGTGGGAGAGAGCATCTGAGCAGAGATCTGAGTGAAGTGAGGCAGAGAACAGAGTAGGTACTGAGAGAGGAGGACTCCAGGCAGAAGAAACAGCATGTGCAAAGGGCCTGAGGCACGGACAAGCGGAAGGTCACGAGGACGGAGAAAGGAGCAAGCGAGGCGCTGTAAGCCAAGGGAAGGAGTCATCCCATAGGCGAGGTGTGGGTTTTTCCAGGGTTCACCTCCCTGCAGAGTGAAGGAGAACTCATAGCAGGTCACCTTTAGCCCCTAAAGCCTCTGAATTCTTATTTTATTTTATTTGTTTTGTTTTGAGAGAGAGAGAAAGAGAGAGCATAGGAGGGGTGGAGAGAAAGGGAGAGAGAATCCCAAGCAGGCTCTGCACTGTCAATGCAGAGCCTGATGCAGGGCTTGAACTCGCAAACCCTGAGATCAGGACCTGAGTCTGAAATCAAGAGTCAGATGCTTAACCAACTGAGCCGCCCAGGTGCCCGTAAAACCTCTGAATTCTGACTCACGTCTCATGTAATCAGTGTTTTGGGCCACTGACTTCGTTTCCGGCAGTTATAAACATTTGTAAAAATTTCAGTACTTAATTTCCTACTGAAAGTGCGGAGAGTGTGTGTCTTCCTTAAACGAACAGGGGCAGAGACCTGTATCTGATGAGCAGGGCAGAGGATTTCAGAGAAGAGAGCCCCCAAACACTCAGCAGGGACCTGCGCGCCCCCCCCCCCGCCCCTCCCCAGGTAGTGGCAGGAGCCCTCCCTCGACTGAATTAGCATTTGTGCCCCGAGGGGTCAGAACAGAAGGGGATTTCTAAAGACATCAAGTGGGGTTGGTCTCTTGCACCCCAACTTTGAGGGCCTCCCTTGCACCCATGCCTGCCTTGGAGGTTTCCCCGGCCGGCCTCCACCCAGGCCTCCAGGGCGGGCCCACCTCACTTCACCCCCTCGCCTGGCGCAGGCGTCTGGAATGTCCTGTGGGGCAAAATCACGGAGGGGCGTCTGCACAGAGCCATGGGCTGTGTCTCCCGCCAGCTTCAAGGAACAAGACACCGCAAAGGTCAAAGGCGGGGGGCGGGGGGATGGCGATCAAATCAATAGTTGAGAACAGAAGCACCAAACGGCCCCGTGTGACCGCGGTTCTGGCCGTCCCCTGTTCTGGTGGCTTTCTGAGCACACAGGACCGGCGTCGCACGCGATCGAGGGGAAGGGACAGTGACAGCTCGCGATCGAGGGGAAGGGACAGTGACAGCTGTGAAAAAAACCTCACCTGGAAGTTCTTATCATTTTTCAAGCCCTGCTGATAACCACTATTCTTGCCAAAAGGTTGCAGAGTGTCACTTCTGTGTCGATCCCCGCCCACCCCTCCCCCCCCACCACAGGGAAGCCGCACGCTGCCTGGGCATCAACAGGGGCATCAATAACGGATAAGGGGGGGAGGTTCTCCCTCCTAATTGATGGAGTCACTAAGGACATTTCGCAGTAATTATTGCTGCCATGAGTTTAAAGAAACGCATCCCAGAGCCCCTGTCACTGAGACGGGCTGATCCCACCTCTCACACACACACCCCGAATCACGTTCAAGTTGGAGGGCTCTGAAGCCCCAGAAATCTCGTTTCTTTTTAATGATTTGGCATAATTAAGGCAAATTCATCTCGTGGTCCTGGCTGGTTTCTAACAACCACACCCTCCTGTCTGGGTGTCCTATAGCATTGCCACGGTCACACGGTGGGGGGTGGGTGAGAAGCCCCCACGTCCCCCCAAGTGAGGTGAAGGAGGCCCTGAGGAGCCCACCTCGGAAGCACCTGTACACCCAAGGAATGGGACAGTGAAACCAGAGGTCGGTGCTGGCCTTCCTCTCCAGCCTCACACCCAGCTGAGGGTGGTCCTCTCTCTTTTTTTTAATGTTTATTTTTTTTTGAGAGAGAGAGAGAGAGCACACGGGTTGGAGAGGCAGAGAGAGAGAGAGGGCGGGAACAGAGGATCTGAAGCTGACCGACAGCAGCGAGCCTGAAGCGGGGCTCGAACTCACAAACCGTGAGATCATACCCTGAGCTGGAGTCAGATGCTCAACCGACTGAGCCCCCCCAGGAGACCCCCGATGGTGTTCCTCGTTTGCCTAAAGCCCTCCATGGCTCCCAGTGCCCATGGGATCAAGATCCAGGCTCCTACAGGTATTGGACAAGCTCCTTCCTAAACCCAGCCTTCACTGACTGCCTGCTCCAGCCACCCTGCAGGGTCCCAGGGCCTCGCAAAGGGTGAGGCAAGCAAGGTTGCTAGGGTAGCACACTAAGCAACTCGCTCTCAGGGTCATCCTAAACGATCTCTTTCAGTGCCCTTCCCTGCCATTCCAGGCAACAGAGCAAAGCTCTGTGTGCCCTTAGGGAAGCCCCTTGACTTCTCTGAGCCCATGTTCCCTCACCTAGAAAACAAGCATGATGTGACCTCCGGAGGTAATATTGGAAGCACCCAGCTCAGTGAGGGACTGAAGTAGCTGCTCAGTAAAACTGGGTGGCTCTTAAACAAACAAACAAAACTGGGTGGCTCTTTCATAGTCTCCACTGTTTTCTCTCCTTGAAACTTCCTTTCCCATTTTTAGTCCTTGTCTTTCCTCCCAACTCCTATACATCTTTCAGAACCCCAAGCCAAATACCCTGTTCTATGCACATCTTGTCCAAATGCTCTCCCAAAAAAACCCGCTCACTCTTGCTGCTGCGCAGCCTGGGCCACCGTCCTGCAAGGCATCAGCAGGGACGTGCGGTCACTTCGTGGGGCTGTGAGCTCTTGGGCCAGGGGTCCTTCTTCCGTCATTGGCCATCTGAGCATCTCTGGCCAGCCTGGAGCCTCGCTGGCAGAGTGCATAGAACCTTCCGTGCGGCCTCTTCTCCGTGCCTTTCCTGATACCCTTCATCCCCAACCTGATGCAGTCCCAATGAAGCTTCCGGGCCCGCAGTGAAGCCGGCATCTGCTAGAAGTGCCCCGGAGTGCCCATGGCGCCTGCTCCGTGTCTCTCCGGGAAGCACCTGCTCCCTCCCGCCCCGTCGGTGTCCTGGGTGGGGCGGGGAGGCAGAGTTGACCAGAGAGGGGCAGGCGGCGCAGGGAAGAAGGGGTCAGAACTAAATGGAAGAACTGTGTGGGCCTGAGCCTCGCCTCCCGGGACAACCGTGCAGGCCACTGAGACCCTGGGGAGAACCAGACAGACCTACGGGGGAGGGGCGCCGCGGGGAACGCGGGAAAGGGGGGCCTGGAGGAGCAGAGGGCGCCCTGACATCGGGTCCCTGCTCAGCTCTGACATCATGCAAGGACACCCACTTGAATGACGAGCACGTGTCCGGGCTCCAGGGGGAGCCCAGGCGCTTGGCTGAGCAGAGCGCGGGTGGAGATGGGAGGAGTCTGTGCGGGAGAGGAGGAGGGTTGTGTCGAGGATCCCAGGGCACACACCCCGTGCCCGCGATGGGGCGCCTCTTCCCAGCCACTGCTGGG